GCGGGCGTCCGGCCTCACCTGCAGACAGAGCCGGGAGGCCTCGCCGGCCGCGGCCTCCAGCAGGACGCCGTCCTCCTCCCGGGTGCGGAACATGAGGCCCAGGTACCAGGGCACGGACACCGTGATGTCCAGGGCGCTCCAGGACACGACGCTCTGCCCGCTGAAGCGCTGGGGGTGGGGCATGGCTGTGGACACACGCGGGCCCTGAAGTCAGAGGGGGCAGCCGGGCCCCGCGCCTCGCCCTCTAGGGCCAAGGCCGGCCCCGAGGCTTCGCTGCCTGGCGTCCGGCCGCCCGAACCCAGGGATCCCGGGACACACGTGGCCTTCTCGGGGAGTGGGGCTAAGGCCTGGGGGTCCACGGGCACCGCGGGGCCAGTGGGTGGGGAGGGCTGGGCCAGTGACTGCCCGCCTGTCCCAGCCCCACCAGGACCGGCCATGCCGAGGGGCCGCGCAAGCTGGCGGCCTGGTGGACGGGGGCTCTTCACCCGCACCGGCCCCGCCGGGGGGTGCCAGGCCGGCCCTCTGGCTCTGGTGGACACAATGCTGGCTAGCAAGGGCACTCAGGCATCTTGGGGGACCCATCACTTCACCCCAGCTTCTCCTGCTGGCCCCAGACTCCTGCAGACACATGGGTGGAGCTAGACTGCACCCCAATTCTTGCTGGGGGAGGGCTGGTCAGTGCGGGTCTCACGGGCAGCGCCGCTGCCACACCCTGCCCAGCCTGGGCGGCCGTGCGGTGACCGGCCGTGCACCGGACATCTGGCCCCCGCCCCGTGACCCCGACAGCTGTTTCCCTGGCCGGGGGGCCAGAGTGTGGTCTCCATAACAGGAACTGCGGGCGTGGTGGCCTGGCACAGGGCCCCCGGCGGCTTCCTGCCCGCGACGGCAGCAGGGCGGGGCCGGACCTGACCTGTCCAGAGAGCTCGGGCAGGCAAGGCTACCTCAGCCCCTCGGGCCGGAAAGCGCCGGCCACTCTCAGCCGCAGGGGGCCAGCTGGCCCGCCCTCCGGTCACCTGCCTCGGCGTCAGGTGGGGTCAGAGCCCCGCTTCTGCCTCATCGGTGCCTTTGAGGACCTGGGCAGGGTCAAGGACCCCATCTCCCCTGAATGGCCGGTGGGCACTGCAGCCGGCCGGCGCCCACAGGCAGCCGGGCCCCAGAGAGCTGAGCGCAGGCGCCCCTGATGCTCAGGGCCCCGAGATGCGGGGCAGGAGGGCCTGCCGCGGGGCCCAACACCGTCCAGCCCGGGTGCCGGGGTGGGGACCGGTGCTGGTCTGGGAACTGCCGGTCAGGGCCCGGCGTGCTCCCGGGCAGGACCCCGAGGCCGGCTGC